CCGGGGCCGGGGCTGGGGCCGGGGCTGCTCCCGCGGCCGCTGCTGCCTCCATGACGGCGCGGAGCGGGCAGCGGCAAGCCCGTGGCATTGTGGGAACGGCCCCAGCTGTGGCTGGAAGGCGGCGGGGGGCGGGGAGCGAGAAACCGCAATGCTACGCAGGCGCGCTGAGCGCGGGGTGACGTCATGCTGGCGGTTGGTGCGCCCCACCCCCCCGGTTCTCAGTCAGCGCCCCTCCCTCCGGCCGTGACGTATCCTCCCCCCGCCCAGTTGGGGGTGCTCCGAGCCTTGGGGTAGTTCAGCACCGCAGGCAGGGGGGTCGCGCGCCCGCCCTCAGGCCTCCTTCCCCGCACGTGCCCTGCTGTACGCCTCTGCCTGCGTCTTCACCGCCCTGAGCGCGAGGCGGGGTGCCTGGGGCCCTGCCTTGTGTCGGGCCATTTGCAGAGCTGGGCTGCAGTGAGGTGAGGCAGGGCAGGGCAGACGCGAGGGCAGCTCCAGGCAGTGGTCAGGCGTTGCCCCTCAGCTGCCTCCTCATGGACAAACCACCGCACTGCAAAGAGACCAAAGGTCAGGTGGTTCAGTGAGGCTCAGCGTTTTTTGTACCAGGACCTAGGGCCGGACACAGGTATGGGGAAACTAGGCAGCCGCCTGGGGCCTGGACAAAAAGGGGGCCCCAAAATGGTGAAATTAATTATTGTTATTATTATCTCTGGTGAAGGGGGGCCTGATACTAAAAGTTCGCCCGGGGCCACCAGGAGTCTAGGTACGGAGCTGCCAACACCCATTTGTGAATGTCGATCACCAGTCCCAGCGCAGTGCCCCTTGCTCCCGACTCCCAGGCCCCAGCCCCCAGCATGTGGAGCATGGGGGGGCAGGCAGCCCCTTGAAGGCTCGGACTCTGCCAGCCTGCAAAGGAAAAGCCACGGTTTCCCACATTTCGCTCCTTTAAAGGAGAATTCATTTTTAAAGTTTGGTTGTGACCTTTTCATATAGTCTTGTGACCCACTTTTGGGTCGTGGCCCAGGGGGTGAAAAACACTGATTTAGTCCAGCCCCCAGCCAGGGTGGCCATCATAGAGGAAATTGCGGTTTTCTGCTACTCTGTCCTGTATTGATATGAAACTCTTAAGAGAAAAATAGAGGACATAAAGGCATCGGGTTTCGTGTCAATATAGGACAGAGGACAACCAGACTGTCCTCTATGATGGTCACCTCCTGCTCAAGGCAAGATCATCCCTGATTAAATCACCCCAGCTAAGTGTTTGTCCAACCTGTTCTTGAAAACGTCTGAGGATGGAGAGAGAGTCCATGACTTCTCTGTTTCAATGCTTGACCACAATCATAGAAAGTGCCTCCTAATCTCTAACTTACATTTCCCATACTGCAGCTGGAAGCCACTGCTCCCAGTCCTGCCTCCTCCAGCCACAGATGAATTCTGCAGTAGTAGCCTGTGGTTCTTTGTGCCTTCGCTGGTGAATTGTAACAACCTTTTCCATCCTTCTGGGGAGATAGGAGGGATTAACGGAAGGTACTATCGGTGCTGAATAAACATGTCCAGTGGGATCGCTCTCTCTTCTGTCGGAAAGATCATAAGGAGACGACGATTTTAACAACATGGAGTATTCACACCTTGGTGAATAACCAAGAAAATAAACAGATGGCAACTGTCAGTCCTTCTGGATTATGGTCTATGTGTGAGACGTCACCCAGACCTCTGATGTATATGCCCAGGCAGGAGTATGGAGGAGTGGAGGTTATCCAGACCATCCACCCCCTGTTTAGACCATTGAGACAGAAACCAAAGGCCAGACCCAGTCCAGATGTTTGGTGCCTCAGTGGCACCAAGATATAAGCATCCAATGCACAGGAGACCTGGAAATTGAAGCCAGGTCTCCTGTGTGATAGACAAGGATTCTACCACTGAACCACAAGGGACTCCAACACAATGAGCAACCAGAAAAAAGAACTGCCATCATCTCCAGGGAACTAGTGAGATACAAAATGAAAATTGCATCCTTCTCCTGACCAAATGTGCAGAGCATGGGCTCATGAATAGCACATGCCCCCAGTGGCTGGGGGGCACAGCAGCGGCAGTAAGCGGGAGCACTCCTGCAGACACCGCCAGCGCTGTTGGTGGTGGGGGGTGAGAGTGGCGAACGCCAGCCAAGGGTCGGCAACCACTTGCAGCCACCACCAGCAGTGTTGGCAGTGGCCAGCAGGGATCATGGACCACCCGCAGATACTGCCGGCGCTGTTGGCAGCGAGCAGCAACCACCCACAGGCACTGCTGACTGTCGGCAGCACCTTTTTGTAGGGGGTGCATCACCATGCTCAGGGGGTGCACATGCACCCACGTGCACCCCGTACACATCACCCCTGTATGGTCTTGTCATTACAGACTCCATCTTCAGACAGGGTAACAAATACAAGACTACCTGGAGACACCCTCACTCTAAGCACTGGCACCTCCTCAACTATGTTCTCTTAGAGTCCATGACTGAATGGATGTCTGTATTATGCAAGCCATGCAAGCAACCAGTAACTGCTGGACAGACCATCATTTTGTCAGAACTATTATGAACGTTGAATTGCTCAGAAACACCAAAAATAAAAACAATACACAGGACTTTCAACATCAAATTTCTTCAAGCAAGACCCAAAGGTTTCAAGGATCTCGAACAGTATCTTTACAAAAAACTCTCTGCCCTGTCTACAACTGAAGGTAACATTGAGGAATTCTGGAAGGGGTTTAATTTATATGGCCTGTACTGAACCCATCTGCTTACCACCCATTGACACCAAGACTGATTTAATGAGAGTGACACCAAGTTCCAAGCCCTCCTTGACTGGAAGAGAAAGGCTTGTTCAGCTTGGCAAGATGATACCTCATCTCAGCAGAAGAAGGAGACATTAACAACTCCTCAAAGCCAAAGCTCAAAGGAGGATCCAGGAAATCAAAAAATAATGGTGGCAAAATAAGTTCAAGGAGATTCTGTGTTGACAAACATGACATGAATGTTCTTTTCCAGGCAACAAAAGTATGGTCCAACTTCCCATGGTACTACTTTCCTGTGATCACAGGATGGCTTGATGCTCCTCAAAGACAACAAATCCATGCTAGATGGAAAGTACACGTGAACTGCGAGTCACCTGAACTGTGACAGATGTTACCATCATCAGGTCCATCCCCCAATACCCTGAAAGGGGATCCCTTGCCAACCCTTCTGTCCTAGAAGTCTGACATGCCATCACAGAAACCAATAACAACAAGGCTACCAGATGGCATACCTGCAACAAAAATCATGTCAATTGCCCTGCAGAATGGTCTGAAACCACACAGAGATTCCAGCAGGACTTCCTCAGCAAGAGGTAGAAAACAGTTCAGGAAAATGCAGATAAGGATTTTCCCTGCTGTAGAAAGGAGGGCCTCACCAGGTCCTGCACACAGACATATCTCCATTCTTGAACATAGTCACAATGTTAGCATTCCTCAAGTCCCCAGGGATCTCATTGATCCAAATTTGAAGAATAATCCCACCGCACTACAGCCCCTATTCTGATCTCCAATCTTTTGACTGTCATCCTGGTTCTCAATAAGAACTGCCTCCCTTCAGGAGTTGACAATGGATGGAGGGATTTTCAATTCAGAACATTTTTGTTCAAAGACTAAAATATTCAAAACAACCATGCTTGACCTTTAATGTGCTGATGACTGTGCCATCCTTGAGCATATTGAGGAAAACCTCCAGACTGCGCTGGATCTCTTCGCAGAAACCTAACAAACTCTGGGCCTCTCCTTCAACATTAAGAAGACTAAATTGCTCTATCAGCCTGCCCCAGGCCATGAATGTAATTACTATCAAAAGAAAGACCCTGGAAGTAGTCAAGCACTTCCCTTACCTCTGTAGCCACTTTTCTCAGAGTGAACATTGATGAAGAGATCCAGGACAGGATATGGTGTGCAAGCGCCTCCTTTGGGAAATTGCTTCATTGTGTTTTTACTGATCACAGTCTCTGGAAAGACACCAAGATCCATGTCTACAGTGCAGTCATCATCTCCACTCTCTTCTACAGATGTGAAACAGGTAACCTACCATCAGCATCTCAGGGCCCTAGAAAGATATCACCAGCAATGCCTCCAAAATATCCTCCACATCATATGGGAAGTTCACTGCACAAACACCAGCATTCTTACTGAAGCCATTGTTACCAGCATTGGGTCAGTGATCTTCAAGCACCAGCTGCATTGCACCAGAAATCATGTGCAGATACCTGATTCTCAATTCCCAAAACAAGTGCTCTTCTCCCAGCTTAGTTACAGCCTGAGATTTCACAGCCAGAAGACATGCTACAAGAACACACGGAAAGCATACCTCAAGAAAACAGATGCCAACTTCAAGAACTAGGAGGAGCTGGCTACTAACTGACTCCAGTAACACTGCAACCTCAACCAAGTGGCAAAGTGCTTTGAGGTAAAGTGGCTTGCCGTCAAAGCAGAGAAGAGAGAGCGGAGGAAGAAAAAGGAGAGAAATCCCAGCCTACTCTTCCTTGTAGAAAGACCTGCAAATTCTGTGGACAGATCTGTGGCTCTTAAGTCACCTCACAACCATGAGCGAGCCACAGTAGAAATTGTTCTTGAATCAAGAGATTGCCAGCAACAATGGTAATTAGCAGTGGAGTGACTTAGGCTGTGTCCACACTGCA